AGTACAAAGGGCAGAACTCTCTGAATGTAACAGGCTCCGATATCGATGCCATGGCCCAGGTTTCCAGAGACACTCTTCAGGCAGGAAGAGGAATGATGATTTATCATCTAGGGAAACCTAGGGGCTACAGAAGGTTTACAGGTCTTTAATACCCATCCATACTGAAAAGAGGTAATTTCTAAACAGTAGGAACATGAAACTTTCAGGCAGGTAAAAATTATAGCTGGAGCTTAAATGGAGAAAGTAAAGGAGATGTTACTGAGATTATATTTGAGCATTTTAGTTCAAAATGTAATTCAATATGTACTTGCCTCTGTTTTTATGTTGTTCTCAAGTAGCTTAAGATTCAGACAGGAAGGCGATGAAAGAGTGAGACACAGAACCGTAAGTAATTAGGTGCTAATCCACGGGTCTCGATGAGATGAAGGAGAGATCAGTGTGGATTAAAGCGAATATAGAGAACATTTCATGGAAAACATCCAGAACTTTGAAGCACAACAGGTTAGACAGTTGCTTTGTACTAGAACAGTGAACCCATCCAGATGCAGAATTGCACTCCCTGTGTTAATGAGCTGGGAAGAACAGGTCCTACAGTGCCTACAGCCACCTTAGTGCCAGAAGCTTAGCACCTCACACCTGGGCCACAAGGAGCCCCAGGCCTCTTTGCATTCTGGATTCCAACCTTCCCTGAATCAAGATACTTCATCTTTATCCAGCACAACATGCTTAACAAGGTCACTCCTTAAATCTTTGCCCTGCCTTAGAAAGCGGGTGGCATCATCCAGAACTTGTAGAAAAAGGTGCTGGGGGATGGAGGATCACGAGACTCAGCTGAGACTTGAATCTAGGTCTTTTCCAAGTCCTGGGTCCTTGCCAACTCAGTGCTCTGATGGACAATCAGCAAGTAGAGAGAGATGCCCTGTGTCTGATTAGACCTGCAGGCATATTTCAGTATTTTTAGCTCTTCAAATTTTACAGGGTTTTTGTTGTTGTTGTTGTTGTTTGTTTTGTTTTGTCCTGGGATTGAATGCAGGAGTGTTTTACCCCAATCCTTTTATTTTTATTTTCAGATATGGTCTCATTAACTTGCTGAGACTAACCTCCATCTTGTGATCTTCCTGCCTCAACCTCCCAAGTAGCAGGGATTATAGGCATACAACACCCCATCTGGCTATACAATTTATTTTGAAAGTCTGGCTACAACACCAATAATTATTTTAAGTGTTAAATTCTATGGCAGGCTGCTTTTGATGGCGTATGCATGTAAACCCATGACTCAAAAGGCTGAGGCAGGAGGATCACAAGTTCCAGCCCAGCCTCAGCAACTTAGCAAGGCCCTACGCAATTTAGTGAGATGCTATTTCAAATAAAAACTGAGAGACTGAAGTTGTAGCCCAGTGGTAGAGTGATTGTCTAGCACATATGAGGCACTGGGTTTGATCCTCGGCACCACATAAAGAAAGAAAGAAAGAAAGAAAGAAAGAAAGAAAGAAAGAAAGAAAGAAAGAAAGAAAGGTATTGTGTCCATCTACAACTAAAAAAAAACTAATAATAAAGCTGGGCACGGTGGTGCACACCTGTAATCCCAGTAGCTCAGGAGGCTGAAACAGGAGGATCACCAGTTCAAAGCCAGCCTCAGCAATGGTAAGGCACTAAGCAACTCAGTGAGACCCTGTCTCTAAATAAAATACAAAAGGGCTGGGAATGTGGCTCAGTGGTTGAGTGCCCCTGAGTTCAATCCCTGGTACCCACCCCCCAAAAAATAAATAATAAAACTTGGTGTGGTGGTGCATGCCTGTAATCCCAGAGACTCAGGAGGCTGAGGCAAGAAGACTTTAAGATCAGTCTCAGCAACGTAGTGAGGCCCTAAAAACCTTAGTGAAAAAAGGGCTGGGGATGTGGCTCAGTGTTTAAGTGCCTCTGGGTTCAATCACCAGTAACTCCCCAAAATTTTTAAAATAAAAAATAAATAGGGACTGGGGTTGTGGTTCAATGGTAGAGCACTTGCCTAGCATGCATGAGGCACTGGGTTCAATTCTCAGCACCACATATAAATAAGTAAATAAAACAAAGGTCCATCAAAATCTAATAATTATAAAAAAGAAATGGGGCTGAAAATATGGCTCAGTGGTTAAGTACCCCTGGGTTCAATCCTTAGTACTAAAAAGGAAAATTAACAAGTAAATAAATTCTATGGCAGAACAGAATGGGATTGAGAGAGTAATTTCATCTTCAAGATGAAATTCTGTCACTTCCCTGCTCCCATTCCTGCTAGATAACCAGTGCTCACAGGCTAAAGCCTAACCCAAATATGGACATTTTGACAAAAAGATGTCTCTAACTCCTCCCAGACCACTCTTCCATCCCCATTCTTGGTCCCAGCTGCAATGAACTATCCACCACAGACCTCGAACACACAACAATCTGTACATATTTGCAAAGTCCCTTTCCTCCCTTCCCCATTCACCCGTGTACATCCTAGGATATAGTCCTCCTCTATCAGGAAGTCTTCAGAGACACCCTCAGATACTTTGTCCTTCTCTACTTTCCCAGAAATTTATGAGAACAGTTTTCACAAGGCCCCACCATTATCTGCTTTCTATTTCCTTCAATGAATTCTTCCTAGTCTTTACTTATGTCCTTTGGGTCTATATACTTTGTGGTGCTTCGAAAGACCAATAGAAAGTATAGTACAATCAACACTCAACCCATATTTGTTTATTATTAATTGCTCTCAAACATTATGCCAGATTTCCCCAAGTATGATAGCCCTAAATATAAGATAGTGTCAAAAATTCATGGGAATACTTTCATCCAGGTCAAAGAACACATTCTTGTTAAACTGAACACACGTTTTGAACAACAGTTCACTTCTACCTCAACAATTCACAAAGACACCAACTACTACCTCCTGATTCTATCAAGCTCCCTGGGTATCACTGTACCTAGAACTCTCTGCACGCTTGATGCCAAAGCTCATTTTCATTATGTGTATAAGGATTTCCTGATTTGCTCCTTATCTTTCCAACTCGATTAATTACTCTGCTTGATGCCATTTCCTTCCTTTTCTCCCACTAAGTTACAGTAGCCATTTTGTCAAATTATATAGAGGCTAAAATAAGCTGACCTCCTCCTTAAACCTGAAGTGTTAACTTCTCTAAAAGAAAAACTGAAAACAAACTTAGGATGAAAAAAGATGATGTGGCTACAAAATAACTTAAACCTAGCGAAAGCTTCTTCATAAATCCTGCAGAAGAAACTCCTTATTCCATCTTGTCCATCACTGGTTTCTAAGTGGGTCATGAAACTCAAGTGGAGTAGACCCTATGGCAGCAGTTGATTCTCATACTGGAAAGTTCAAAGGCCAGACCAGAGCTCCCTGAGGGCAGCAACTGGGTCCACATGGCAAACCACAGTATCCTTAGGGCCTGGCACAATAGCTGGCACAAAACATACTCCAATAACTACCTGCTGAATGAACAAATACTGGATGTAAATCGAGTCACCAAAAAAGCAAGGTCAGAGGTCTATCAACATGCATTATATCTGGGTGTAGGAAAGTTCAAAAATTCTTACAGGTTAGAAGACCAGGACTCAACAGTGACAAGGGGCTATAGCAGCTTCATGGTCAGATTCTGCCCATGCCTGAGATCTGGCCATCGGAATTTCCCAGAATTCCCTTCTTTAAAGATTCCAAGACCTTGGCTGCAAGGAAGCAGTCAACCCCAAGTGCAACTCATCATCCCAATAGATGAGAAGAGGGTGTATCCCACATTCTACCAACAAACCGAACAGAAGTGACAACAGAATAAAACTCCCCTATCTCAATGAGAAAGAGCTGGAAAACAAAGAGCAGGTAAGAGAAATGGAAGTCAAGTGGGAGAAACTAAAGTAATGAGAAAGTCAGAAGACATAAGAAGGGACCAGTGGAAAGAAAAAGAGAACTACACGGCTGAAGCAGGAAGATCACAAGTTGGAGGCCAGGCTCAGCAACAGAGCAAGGCCTGTCTCAGGGCGGGGACTAGGAGTGCTGCTCAGTAGTAGAGCGCCCCTGGGCTCAATCCCCAGTATCAAAAAGAGAGGGCAGCACCGATGGAGGGGATGACAGCAAGGCTATTTATTGAGATCCCTGCACCAAGCACTGCTTTACTGCAGGCACTGGCCCACTTAATCCTCCCACCTCCCCCGACACAGACGCTGTTATCTCCACTTTACTGAAGATGAAACGGAAGCTTTAGAGAGGTGGCTGCGCTTGCTCCATCCCACTGCTGGGAAGTGGCAGCGCTGTGACCCGACCCCGGTTTTGACTCCAGGGTACCCCACTCTGCCTTATAAACGGATTGAGAGGGGAGTCACTTAACACCTAGGAGTCAAAGCCTGCTGAGGCGGGGGCGGGCGGAGGCAGGGACCCGGGCTGGGCGGCCCGGGGGACGGATCACAACGTCAATCACGCGGCTGAGGCGCCTGGAGCCCCGAGGCGGGTGGGCACCTGGGCAGCGAGGGGGAAGAGCAGGGGCGCGCGGCGCGGGCCCGGGGCGGTGTCGAAGGACCGGGCTCCGCCGAGTCCCCTCTGCGGCCCGCGGGCCTCTGCCAGGCGCTCCGTGTGCTAGGGTGCTGGGTCCCCGCCGCTGCGCGCGGGCGGACGGTGGCTCAGGGCAGCCGGCGAGCAGGCGGTGGGGACCCCAGGGCTGAGGCGAGGGGACGTCGGCCGCCCGCGGCGTGGCCGGACTCACCTCCCGCGGCAGCCCCTCCGGACTCGTCGGCCCCGCGGGGCCCGAGGAGGCGGGGATGGACTCCGGGCCGCGGGGGCCGCCGGGAGCCCGTTCCCTGGGCAACCGGGCCGGCCTGGCGAGCGACCACCGACTCCGCCGGGGGCTAGAGCGGCCGAGCCACAAGTGGCGGCGGGCGGGGCGGAAGTGACGCTAGCGCTTCCTGTGAGTGGGCGGGGCTTGGGTCTCCTTCCCGGGATTTCTGCCGACCGCATGGAAGGTACGTGAGAGGGCTAGATTCCGGGTTGAGGAGGCTATGGGCGTCAGGCTTTTGGTCGCGGGCCGGGCCGGTTTGATTAAGTGCTGTGGTGCCTTGCCCAGCCCGGTGTGCCGGCCCCGCGCAGCCTCTGTGGTCGGCCTGGGGCCATCTTTGCTGCGCCTCCGTTTTTTCACGTGTGGAGTGACAGCTGAACGGATGATGTGTGCAAAGGAGTGTCAGCAACCTGACGCTCGAATGGTAATTATCGTCATTATTTATTTATTTATTTGGCGTCACTGGGGATTGAGCCTATGGGCTCTCTGCCACTGAACTACATTTTCAGTCCTTTTTTATTTTCTGAGACAGTCCTCTAAGTTGCTGATGGCAGGTGTGTGTAGAAAGCCCCTAGTTTCAACCTCAGTACCACAGAAATAAATAATAAATAGCAGTAATGGAGCAAATTGGGCGCCAAGCCTTGCATGCCCATCACCTCCAGAAACTCTTACTTGAACTGTCAGTGAAGGTTGCCAGAACATTCTGCTTGTAGAGTGCTCACTGAGCACCAGTAATGTTTTAAGTCAGCTCCATTTTGCAGTGAGAAGCCCTGGCATGAAGGGGATAAGTAACTTAACCACTGGGTTATGCCTCATCTGCCCTGTTCTGTGGCTCTGATTACTGTTCTCTCCCTACTAGCCTGTGAGTTTCTTGAAGTTGAAGCTGTTTTTTGGTTCCTAAGTATGTACTAGTATAATGCCAGATTCGTGGGACCCCAGTAGACCTCCAGGAGCCAATTCTGATGCAATCACACAAGAGTCTTTATTGCAAGCTGGAGCCTGGACTTTATTGCAAGCTGGAGCCTGGACTGCGTTTCTGACGCAGCTGTCCCAGGGAGTAAGCCCTGGTGCTTTGTCCAGTGAGATTTTATAGGTTTTGGGGGGATACTCTATGCATCACAACGTCACACAGGCAAATCATTCCATACCGCAGGAAAATCAAACAACAACTCTTAACATTGATTAGCACATTCAATGGCAGGAACAAGTTGGGTAGGGATGTTTGGTTAGTACAAGAGGGGGATTCGTTTGAACTGATTGGTTTAAGCCACGAGGGAGTACGTGCTGAACTACATGGTTTCCCAACATGTTATACACCACCATAAACTACTGGGGGGGGGGTCATCTGGCATCCCAGGTATTTTCCCTGTCTCATGCTGATTGGTGGTTGCTGGGGGGTTGCTATGGGTTCTCACCTAGGCTAACTGAGTCAGGGACACCTGGTGCAGCAGATCTCTCCTGTTATTTGCAGACAAACAACTCAGCAGTGTGGTTATGTGCCTAGGAGTGCTCTGTGGGTTTTTCCAAGGACAAGGGCCATGCCCCTTTCCTTGGACAGGCCTTGAGGTAGAAGCTTTTTTCAAAAAGGAGTCACATCAGTTTCTCACTAGGTGCCTGGCAAGCAGACAGTGAATCAGATGGGATCCTCATCCTCAGGAACCCCTCCTGGGGAAGAGAAAACCTTAGACAATTTCACTACAGATGATGATAAGAGCACTTCCTCCACCTAACACATTTTATTCAGCACCTACTATGTGCAGAAGGTATGAAAGGGAACAAGATAAACAGAGCCTATTCTGGTTGGACTCAGTCCAACAGGGACTGAGGCACCTCGCTGCTGAATGTCAAGATACCTGAAGCATAGGATGTTCCAGTTACTAGTGCAGTGAGTCCTAACCCACCTTGGGGGATCCAGGAGACTTTATGGAAATGATTTTCTAAAAATCTAAGATCATGCCATTGCCCTCCTCCAAGCACACTGCTTGCTCTCCATTGTACATAGAACAAGCCCAAACTTCCTGTCTTGGCATGCAAGGTTCTAATTGTGAGGTCCCCTCTTAACACACTACCCGCTCCCCTCCATTTTATCCTAGCCATACTGAATCTGGACTGGTTCTTGGTCATTTATCATCTCTCGCCCCTTTGGAAAGTCATTTCCACAGCAATGGCTATCTTATTCAGGCACTTCATCCTTCATGCCTGACATATTGTAGGCAGCCAGCAAACATTAGTTGTTTCAGAGTGAATGAAGAACCAATATACTTAAAAGAAGAACCCTCTAGAATGCCAGGTGATTGAAGACACACTAATAGCAGAAACATTCTAATTCATGTTGAAGCTTATACAGACCCAGCACTGAGGCACGGATTGCAAGTGGGAAAGGATCAAGCTGAAGAAAGGTGTGCAGACTTGGGTAACAGGGCCTTGGACATCAGATGATATACTGACCCTTGCCATGGGCCAGCCCCTCACAGCATTACATAGGCATCTACTCTCAGCAACACTGTGAAGCAGATACTATTTTTATGAGTCTACCCTCCAAACCATACAACTTTTGTGTGTTCTGTATTCCTCCAGGGCCATGAAGTGTCTGTTGGGTTCTCAGTGGAGAAGGGAGTGCTGGGGTAGAACAAACTGCCCGGGAGGCTCTTGGTGGTCTGGGGACTGCTTCCTCCAGACAGTGGGATCTGGGTTTGGCTTGAGGGAGGCAGCACTAGCCTGAGAAGGAAGGAGCTTTTAGAAGAAAAACACATGTGCAGAGGCCTTTTCAGGAGCTGCTAGAAGCTTGGCACAGTGGTGCACATTTGTAATCCCAGTGACTCAGGAGCTGAGGTAGGAGGTTTGCGAGTTCCAGACCATTCTTAGCCACTTAGCAATGCCCTAAGCAATGTGGCAGGACCCTGTCTCAAAACATAAACAGGGCTGGGGATGTGGCTCAAGTGGTAAAGCACCCCTCGGTTCAATCCCCAGTACCAGAACAAAAACTGCTAGGTTCACTTTAACTGGAGATCATGAAAACTGGTATTGCCAAGAGTGCCAGGGCCTGATGGAGCTGGAACTTCCTCCTGAGCCCCAGGAAAGGCAGAGGCGGTCTCGTCAGGATTCCCTTTGCATCTCTGGTGTCCTTCCTTCTCAGTATCTTAGAAGCTCCAATGAGCCACACGTCTCTGAACAAAGTGCCTGAGACTGGAGAGTGGGAGTACTAAGGAGTCAAGCCAGATTATCCTTTAGGAAATGGAATGGGAGCCATCTAAGGGTTCTCGCAGAGAGTTACAACTTCACTTCCAGCCTTTGAAAGTAGTTAGAATGCCAAGGTCAAAACTTTGTGGAGGGCTGGGGATGTGGCTCAAGCGGTAGCGCGCTCGCCTGGCATGCGTGCGGCCCGGGTTCGATCCTCAGCACCACATACAAAGATGTCGCGTCTGCTGAAAAAGTTTAAAAAAAAATAAAAATTCTCTCTCTTTAAAAAAAAAATGTTTTAAAAAAAAAAAACTTTGTGGAGCCATTAAGCTAGGAAAGGATCAGCTATATCTGATGTGTCTTTTAAGTAATTTTTTAAAGTTTTGGCTTTTCTTGTTTTAGAAACTTTCATGTTTATCCAGACCTTAGCTTTTGTGACATTTATTTGTCTAGTTGACAAAGAATGTTAGTTTGGGGCTGGGGTTGTGGCTCAGTGGCAGAGCACTTGCCTTGCCCATGTGAGGCACTGGGTTCAATCCTTCTCACCACATAAAAATAAATAAACAAAACAAAGATATTGTGTCCATGTATAAGTAAGAAAAATCTTTAAAAATAGAATGTCAGTTTGTTGACAGTTAATAAGACATGTGTCCTCCGACTATGATCATGTTTTCCATAATAATTGTGTTTTTCTTACTCCTACAGCAAAGACTCTTGGAGTTACAACACCCAGAAAGCCTGTCTTGTCAGTCAGTGCAAGAAAAATTAAGGACAATGCAGCTGACTGGCACAATTTAACCCTGAAATGGGAAACCCTCAGTGATGCAGGTTTTACCACCGCAAATAACATTGCCAACTTGAAAATCAGTTTATTGTAAGTACATTTAGAGTTCCTCACACTCTGAACCTTCACCCTTAACCATTGGGCAGAAGAGTCATGGGAGTCTTTTAGGGTAAGAACTTACCAGGATAAATGAATTTAAAAATTAAATAGTAAGCAAGAAAAGCAGTAAATTATATATGCAAGTATGAAGTGTATATGAGCATTTTTTTAAGTACTTGAGCTTATGTTTATTTATTGTATATACACATTTTTTTTTTTTTTTAATATTTATTTTTTAATTTTCGGCGGACACAACATCTTTGTTTGTATGTGGTGCTGAGGATCGAACCTGGGCCGCAAGCATGCCAGGCGAGCTCGCTACCTCTTGAGCCACATCCCCAGCCCCTATACACATTTTTTGGAGGGGTTCCCTTAATCATGGAGCTTCATCCCCAGCCCTTTTTATTTTTTATTTTGGGACAGGGTCTTGCTGAGTTGCTTAGAGCCTTGCTAAGTTAATGAGGCTGGCCTCCAACTTACGATCCTCCTGCTTCAGCCTCTCGAGTCACTGGGATTACAGGTGTGTACTACCACACCCCACTACTTATTGTATATATCCATTTTAAATACAAAGTTATGCTATGTATTATTCATGGTTACATCTGTGTATAAACTTATAAAAATAGGTTAAAGGACCAGACATGGTAGTGTACTGCTGTTATCCCAGCCATTGAGGAGGCCAAGGCAATAAGATCACAAGTTCAAGGCCAGCCTGGGCAACTTAGCAAGACCCTGTCACAAAATAAAACATAAAAAGGGCTGGGGATGTGGCTCAGTGGTAGAGCATCCCTGGGTTCAATCTCCAGTATTGAAGGGAAAAAAAACATGATACAGGCTTAACTCACAGTACTGGCACCTTCTAGGACGAATGGTTGGGTGGTAAGTAATGAGACTTCATGTTCAGACTGTTACATTTTCCTTGTTTTCAAAAATTTTTCTTCCTGCTCTTGTTGTTGTTGTTGTCATTGTTGAAACTAGGTATCACTCATTGCATTGCCCAGGCTGATCTCGAACTCTTGGGCTCAAGTGATCCTCCTGCCTGGTCTTCCCAAATAGCTGGGGCTACAGGTGTGCATCACCACACCCAATTTATTTTATTTCTTAAAAAAGACAAGGGACTTATGAAAAATTATTAGCAGTTGCAAATTCTAATTAAAGGCTTTGCTTTATTCTATTTTTTTTAGTTGAAGATGGATGTAATACCTTTATTTTATTTATTTTTGTGTGGTGCTCAGGATCAAACCCATTGCCTCACGTGTACTAGGCAAGCGCTCTACCACTGAGCTACAACCCAGACCTGCTTTATTTTTGCGTTTTTCCTGTATAAGATTTTAATTTCTCAAAGTTACAATTTTAAAATACCTAAACACCCCGCAGCTTGCCTCTGTCTACTGGCAGAGCCTTCAGCCCCTGGCTCCCCGCTGGTTTCACCAGCCTGTGCTCTCCTAGAATGGCCATGCACATCATGGACTTTAACCCATTATTTGCTATTTTATCCAGGAGTAAAGACAAGATAGAATTAAATAGCAGCAGCCCAGCTTCCAATGGAAATGAAGAAAAGATGTATCCACAATATGATAAGGAGCTTGAGGTGCTATGTGAGGAACTACAGGCCACCTTGGATGGTTTGGTAAGACCTACTGGCCACTTGTGGTCACTGTCACTGGGTCCAGTGGACCTCTTTGGGGTTTGCTCGACCATTTCTGGCATTTAACACCATTGGTAATTCTTTGCTTCTCAGGCTTCTCTGATGCTCTCTTCCTCTACCCATCCCACAAATCTTTTTTTTTTTAATTTTGGAACAGAAGTGATGAGTCCTGCCTCTTGGGGTTGGGCACATCTTTTAGTTGTTGATAGACCTTTATTTATATACAGTGCCAAGAATCAAATCCAGTGCTTCACATATGCCAGGAAAGTGTGCTACCGCTGAGCACCAGCGCCAGCCCCTCATCCCACAAATTTTGATGTTCCCCAAGATGTGGCTCTGGACACCCACTCTTTCTGCACAGTACATTGTCCAGGGCATTTCGTCCACTTCCAGAGTCCACAGAGCGAATGTTTTAGGCTTCATGGGCCAGACCATCTCTGTCCTTGTACTGCTCAACTCTGCCTCGTAGGGCAATGGCAGTATATATAAGCAAATGGATGTGACTATGTTCCCATAAAACTTGGTGGATGTAGAATTTGAATTTCACATGATTTTCATGTATCACAAAATTCTATTCTTCTTTTGATTTATTTCCAATCATTTGAAATGTAAGCACCTTCTGAGGACAGAGTATGTATAGACATTATTTGTAATTCTTCCACATGGGAACTTTGTCTCTTCTCCCTTATTTGTTAATTATTCAATTTGTCAACTATATCAGTTTGGACTTGAAAGGTATTTACTTTATACTTTGGGTTGTGATCCAAATCTATTTTATTTCTTGCTCAGATTGTCCCTACTTTGGCCATTGGGAATGCAGTTGGCTCATATGTCCCTTTGAAAGTCTCTCTTCACAGTGAAGTTTGGTTTGGTTGTGGATTTTGTGAACACTCTGCATTTGCTGGCATTGAAAGATGTTCCAGGCTCATCTTGTGCACGTCCTGCCTCAGTCTTAGAATAATAAGTCCTCATTCTATGTTCAAAAACCGAATGCTGAGATTGTAAAGCTATTATTTTTTTCCTATTTGCCTCCTAGCATTTGGAGAGAATAATTTCCCAGACTCAGCTTCAGTAGTCTTTATTTAGGGGGATGGGTGGGGATACCAGGGATTGAACTTGGCCACTTAACCACTGAGCCACATCCCCAGCCCTATTTTGTATTTTATTTAGAAACAGGGTCTCACTGAGTTGCTCAGTGCCTCACTTCTGCTCAGGCTGGCTTTGAACTGGTGATCCTCCTGTCTCATCCTCCTCTGCCGCTGGGATTATAGGTGTGTGCAACTGCACCCTGCTCAATAGTCTTTAATAAATTTGACCTTGGGTGTTGGTGCACTCCTTTGCCTGAGCTGGACTCAGTCTCTCAGCAGTCTGGGTTCGCTTCTGGAGACACTCTTAATGCTGAAGTGTGAGCATGGTCTGCTGCTAACATGTTATCAGTTCATACATGCATGACCTTGTCCCTGTTGATGGCCAAGCTGCAAAATTGGGCATGGCCCTTCTAGCACAGGGTCATGGCTCCAGGATTTTCCTCACTTTCTTCATCTTTGTAAGTTTTTCTTAGAGTCAGGGAGTTGCCACAGGATGCAGAGGAAAGCACAAAGGATTGGGTGTTGAGAGACTTGGGGACAGAAGGCCTTATTTCTATTCAAGTTTGGCCTTATTCTTCCTTAGTTCAACCTTGAGCAGTTTTCTCAGCTATGAAACAGAAGTGATGAGTCCTGCCTGAAATATCAAACCTAAGATTCAAGAAAGGAATCTTTAAAAATCAATGTTACCAGGCTGGGGTTGTGGCTCAAGTGGTAGAGTGCTCGCCTAAGACACGTGAGGTACTGGGTTCGATCCTCAGCACCACATAAAAATAAAATGGAGGGGCTGGGGATGTGGCTCAAGTGGTAGCGTGCTCGCCTGGCATGCGTGTGGCCTGGGTTCGATCCTCATCACCACATACAAGCAAGGATGTTGTGTCCGCCGAAAACTAGAAAATAAAATTAAAAAAAATTTCTCTCTCTCTCTCTTTAAAAAAGAAAAAAAAGACTGATTAAAAAATAATAATAAATAAAATGGAGATATTGTGTCCACCTTAAAAAAATAAAATAAAAAATAAATATTTAAAAAAAAATCAATGTTACCTAAATTTAGTGCATGCCCCTTCAGAGGTAATTTGAGGTGGTTGGAAGGACCACGTGCAAGAAATTAAGATTTTGATGATTCGTATGTTTTTTATTTCCCCACCCCATGCTCATAAAGTCAGTTATGCCAGGAGTTAGAAATTTGATCTTAGTAGACCTGTGCTACTTAAATCTGAAATCCTAGTTTCTTCTATTTATTTTAACCTTTTTTTGTGTGTGTGGTGCTGGGGATTGAACCCAGGGCCTTGTGCATGCGAGGCAAGCCCTCTACCAATGAGCTGTATCCCAGCCCCTTCTGTTTATTTTATTTAACAACCACTCATATAGCTCCACTAGGGGCTTCCAGTAGTCACTCCCCCATGAAGGCAGACACCACACTGGCCCGCTCTGTGCTGTCTCACGTACACAGCAGGGGTGGCTGTGCGAAGGGGGCCGTGAAGCGGCTCAGGATGGAACCTGGGGTCCGCTGGAGCACTGCCATTTCCTCCTGTGTCAAGTGAGCAGGCTGCCATTCAGTACCATCGTTTTATAAATAAGGAAATAGCCTCAACAGGCTTTCAGTATCTGAGTCAGAAATTAGTTTGTTTTATGCTTCTCTCCCATGTTTGGTCCCATAAGAGCAGCAGACCCTGCCCTGGAATTCTCCAGGTCTTGCTGAAACATGCTGTTTAATTGTAGTGCAGTGGAAGATAGCACGCTCTCTACTCCAAGACTGGAAATCCGGGGCTTATTGGGGAAGTAATCCAAACTGATGAAACCATAGCAGCTGTCCATTGCCCTGCAAATTTGCTCTCCGTGGAGTTAGTGGCATTTGGTTATTACAGTTTGGGCCTCAACAGAAGTACTTAGCTTTGAAATCTAGTGAATTTGAAACTGATTTCAGTTTTCAAATAATATTTAGATTTAAAATAATGTTCGCATATTCCAAATTGATATCTTTTCAGACCAAAATACTGGTGAAAATGGAAAAGCTGTCTTCAACTACCAAGGGAATTTGTGAACTAGAAAATTACCATTATGGGGAGGAGAGTGCTCGGCCCCCTTTGTTTCACACGTGGCCTACGACCCACTTCTGTAAGTAGTTCTTGTGAGTCCATGTTTAGGAGGATAGAGGTCAGGAGAGGATTTAGTACCATTTAGATTAGATGAAGGCATCTTAGAATGAACATTTCTTCTAGTTCTAATTACCTAACAGCAAAGAAAATTCAACGTAGAGACTTATGATACAAGTTGCTGTTCTTGACTCTTTAAACCCAATAGAATGAAGTCCACCTCCTCTGTGGAGGCAGAAATTCCTCTTTTATTTATTCTTTTTTAATTGAGGAAGAAATTGTTTTGTCTGTTTATTCAAGATGACTGCAGCCAACCTCATAGAAAAGGACTATTTAGAAAAATGTAATCCATCACTTAAGCGCTTTAAGGCACTTTTTTTTCTTTCTGTGACTGGGGATTAACCTGGGGTGCTTTACCACTGAGCAACATCCCCAGCACCCTGCCCCCTTTTTAAAAATTTTTTTTATTTTGAGACAGGGTCTTGCTAAGTTGCTGAAGGAAGGGAGAAAAGAACAAAATTGGCTGGCCTAATAAGCTGGTTGTAATACTGTCAGTTTGAGGCAATTCTCCTGTCATGGTCACTGCAGGTCACCTACAGGTTAACACAAAGGCCTGTGCTTATTTTTGATCTCGTGCTCCTTGCTGCATAGCTAACGTTCCTAACTGGCACCAGCCAGAGTGATGGACACACTCCTCCTCCTCTACTGCAGTACTGCTGTTGGTTCTGGCTTTTCACCAGGAGCCTCTGAAAGCGTGGCTCCTGGATTGAGCTGCTTCCTTGAATGGCTGCTGGTGAGGGAGACTTGCTTCTGTTTCAGATGAGGTTTCCCGCCAGCTCTCAGACATGTACAGGCAGGAGCTGCTCCTGAAGCGTACTGTGGGTGCAGAGCTGGCGCACACAGTGGACCGGGACCTCATCCTGAGCTACCTGTCAATGTGGCTGCACCAGCCCTACGTGGAGAGCAGCAGCAAGCTGCATCTGGAGAGCATGCTGCTGGAGACAGGGCACCGGGCCCTGTGACCTTTCCACTCAGCTTGGCTCCAGACCACTGACATCTTCCCTGTCCCCCAGTGGGGGGGACATGGTGTTGTGCCCAGGACTAGAGCCTTCTCTCTGGCCTGGCTGCCCACCAGCCTTCGTGGGGTTCTGGACCACATGGCAGCTTCTGTGGCCTCTCCAGGGGTGCTCACCCCTGCTGTGGCCACCCTTCCTTTTTGCCTCGTCTACCTGTCATTCCTGACCTGATGAGTTCCTGAACAGAGAGACTGAGGGGTCCGGTTTTTGTGAGTTAAGTGTACTTTATAGGTCACTCACCTTGATGTAGAAAACCCCTCATTACATATTTTTACTTTATACCTATCTGTATTTAGATTTTTATGAGCACATATTCTATGATTACAACTAATGTTTAAAATCTTATAGCGTCAACTGGGTAAAGTTTGGCATCATGGAAATGAAAACTGCCAACAAAAACACAGCCATGGTCTGCATGTCCAGGATGGGACAGGCCAGTGAGAAGTCCTCTGATCCCAAACCATGCACATTCCATGGGACTGTGTATGCTGTGAAATTGAATAAATGTTTAATTGTGGTGTTGTGTTAGCTTCTTTACATTTAATCATTAACATACTACTTATCTAAGTTATCAAGACCATTTAAACTTTTTTTTGAACTATTTTTTTTTTTTAAGTTGTCAATGGATCTTTCATTTTATTTATTTATTTATATGCAGTGCTGAGGATTGAACCCAGGGCTTCACACATGCCAGGCAAGCGCTCCACCGCTGAGCTACAGCTGAGCTACTCGGAACCTTAACTTATCAGCCCAAGACTATTTTAACTTTAATTCACCAAATAAGACTTACTTGTAGAATTTATGGCCAGGAAAACCTCAGGAAATCACTACTTCTGATTCCTCCATTCTTTTTACAACAGGCCCTGTCATACAGTCATATGACAGTCATACAACTGTCCAAGGTTCTGGACAGTAACTGGCAGTCCCAGGTTTGCTTTCATTTTTGGACTGAACCCAGGGGTGCTTAACCTCTGAACCACTTCCGCAGCCCTTTTTGTATTTTATTTTGAGACAGAGTCTTGCTAAGTTGCTCAGGGCCTTGCTAAGTTGCTGAGGCTGGCCTTGAACTCATGATCCTCCTGCCTCAGCCTTCCGAGCCTCTGGAATTACAGGCGTGTGCCACTACCTCTGGCAGATTTGCTTTGATTTAGTTCCCCTGAACTTATTAGGTAAGCACTCCACCACTGTTGACCCATCCTCAGCCCTTAATTATTTTTTATTTTATTTTTTATTTTTTTGGCCATACTGGGAACCAAAGCATGAATCTAGCCAGGCCAGCATCACCTGGACTTACTAGGACCATGAGTATAGCCCCAGCCCGTTTTCTTTTCTTTCTTTTTCTGCTCTGCTTTTTCCTTTTTTGCCAAGCTACATGCTCAGCTGAGTGAGGGGTTCAGACAGACATAAGATCCTGCACAAAGACTGTGGACCCAGAGGGAAGACTGACTTGCAGAGAGCACATGCACCAATGTCACTTCGCATCACAAAATAACACAGGGTGTACATGCCTGTTCAATTCTGCCATACCTTCCCAGAAATATCCCCCTGGGCAATGTGGGCTTTAGCCTTATGAAGCCAAGGTTCTGTGGTCCAAAGAGCAAATGCTGTCAGAGAAATAAAAGTATGCCCCCAATAAAAGACTGCATGTGACAGAAGTATTTTGAGAGCAAGTGAGGATTTCTTACTGTGCAAGCTGACCTATGAAAAGCACCTAATAGCAACATTTCTTAGGATTTCTCTCTTCTCTGCCTTTGCTGTACTAAAATCCAACTATCATAAAAGTGGACAGTCAGACACCTTATAATCTGGATGCCCCTGGTTAGCATTTGGCTGGGCTGCTGCTATCCTGTCGTAGGCTCCACTGCAGGCCTAGATGCAAGGCTACCGGAACCAGCTACAGAGTGATGGGCAGGACGGGGCCCAAGAGTCTGTGCTTGTCAGCTGCCCACCTGGGAGAGGTCTTGGCATGAGGTCCATCAGTCATGTTTCACAAAGTATGAAAACTCAGAGAGGAGCCTGAGGATTTGATACTGTGAATGCAGGCCTTCAAGGGCATTTCAGGAGCTCTTGATGATATGTGCCCCAGGCGCCTATCAGAAGTTGCTCAGGAGAACTAATAGGATTGATGCTGCTAAGGCCAGAGAAAAGTAAAGAGCTAAATAATGAATAAAAATAATGACTCTGCAGAGCAACTTCTATTGGGAAGGAACAAGGAAGAACTCTGAGGCCATTGTGGCATTTAAAGTTTAGCAAAAAGATGGCTCCCAGGCGCACAGATCCTGTTCCTCCAGAAACCCTGCCAAATGACAAGAGGCACATGAAAACTCTGGAATCCACCTAGACAGAACATGATTGGAGAAGGATAACACTATAACTCCAGGAAACACAAAAGCAAGGTAACCATAATGTGCTGTGCACGGCTCAGCTGTGAACAGCTTTTGTGTGTCATTAACTGTTATGACACTTGGTGGGGCCAAGCTAAGCATCTTTTCATGCTGTTTATCAGAGGTGTCAGGCATCCTGCCTTCCAGCAGTTCTGGTCCCTGTGGGTTGGGTGAGACGGTGTGGCTAATTCTGGCCACTGTGCTATTAAGTGCATTTGATGGCTTGACTTTACTGGCATTCTCTCTCTCTGGCGGGGAACCAGAAGCGTTCAGCTGTGGCTGCCCTAGCTGGTTGTCCTCCACCTGCCCACGGAGCACAGCGCCCTCTCTCTAACCTGCCAGCAGAGATGTAGGTGAGCAAGGAGCACACGAGTTTATGTTAAAAGCTGCTGAGGCTTAGGAGCTGCACTGCGACCTGTTCAGACTGATCCACAAGGTGAACCACACTGGGACGTGGGGTTTGGCTGAGGCTGCTGTTTGTCTTCCATGTTGATCCTTTGTTTCATTTTAGTCTCAGCTGGCATGGAGCTGCCCTCTTTGGAACAGGCTTCAGAATCTTTGAGCCAGGTATGGCCACATGACTGACTACTGAGGTATGCAGTTTTCAGATCATGGCCCTTAAAAGGTGTGTACACAGCTAGATGTGGTGGCTCACACCTGTAGTCAGCTGCTTGGGAGACTGAGGCAAGAGGATCTCAAGTTTGGAGCCAGCCTCAACAACTTAATGAGACCCTGTCTCAAAAAATAAAAAGGGTTGGGGGTGCACTTGAGTGATGGAGCAGCCCAGTACCATCCCTGATACTGCCAAAAAAAAAAAAAAAAGCATGTGTGCTTCTCTTGCCCTTCTTTCCTTTTGGGGGTAACACAAGGTTGAGTGTTAAACTACCTTGGACCTTAGGGACAAGGGCCATCCTAGGGGGAAGAAGCAATCTGGGTCTGGACCACCTGGGGCAAAGCCACCCAACTTCCTGAATGCCTCCCAGCTCATGCTTTTACTTAGATATAAAATTCTCTCTGAAGCCTATCACTGTTGCCCCATGTCCCAGAAAAGCAGACCAAGTCTGATGAAGAAGTGGTATGGCATGAACAGAGAAGGGGACATCACTTTGTGGAAATGGAAAGCTGGGCTGAAAATCGAGTAATATTGGAGCCATTTTATGACAGCCACCAAAAGCTCCTAAGAGATACATAGGAGGGATTTGTTATCAAGCAATGTATCTGCCTCTACTATGAGGAGCTCTGCAGAAAAACAGTAGGGTAGACACACATCATACTTTATAAATAAAAGGTTCATTTGTATCAGTATTCACATTAGAAAAATATACACTGCCTGGAATAGACCTTCTCTGGATAAAATGCATACAAATCCAGGATCAAGCTTTGGACTCCTTGTCACTGGGAGGGCTCTGTCTCTACAGTGAGGAATGTCTCCACAGTCTCTGAAGGACCCTCTTCTGGTGGACCAGTCTGTAGGGCAGGCCCCTTGGCATCAGTCACTATGACAATGTCCTCCCCCTGAGACACTATGGTGCCTGGATGGGGCAAGATCAGCCCATCAGAAGTCTGAATAAAAATCTGTTCCTGAGACAACATCTGACACCCATTGGGAATTTCAAATGCCAAGGCTTCCCCTACAGCCACCACACTTTCCAGTTCTCTTTGGTCAATGTGCACCTGTGTCCCACAGGGGAACCAGTTCAAGTCCCCAGCTTGGCTTCCAAGACCCCCTTTAGTTGGCAGTGATCTGTCTGGGCCAGGCTGAGGCCCTGGCTCTGACACCGTTCTGGAGGCATAGTCTACTGGCATGGCATCCATGGGCAAAATCTTCAGTGAAGGGGCCACAGAGTGCCTGGGGCCGACTTGCTGGCAGTTCAGGTGGGAGCCACACATCTCACCACGGTTCCCTACCTCTGCACTTCCAGACCTGCCAGGCAGCAAGCACTCCCCTCTTCTACCTGACAACAGGACACCACAGACACCTGGGCTCCTCTGGCTGTCCCCGGTGTTGGAGTCTGCAGAGTGTTCCGGATCATTATCTTCAGGAAATGCTGCCACCTGGGCCGGAGGCAGGCCCCCAGGCTCTCTTAACTGAGCATGAAGAGCTGGCCGACTGGTGGCCCCGCACAGGGGAGCGGAGCCCACAGACCTCCTCCTGGCTCTGAAGTCATCAAAAGCTTTAAGCTGCTGGCCCACATGTAATTTGCTTCTGCCACTATTAGAAAGTGCCATCCCATGGCTTTCTTCAGAATAGGGAGGGGCGCTCCCACTTGCTGGAGAGGCAAAACCTAAATGGTTTGGAAAAACAGGTAAGCGCCTAGATCTTGGCCTATTCACCACACCGTCCAAAATGAGCTGGTCCAAAATAAGTTTCTTGCAAAGAAACACATACACACACACACACACACACACAAAAAAAAAACTCTCCCAGCTGCTCAGACACAGGCAGCAAATCCTTTTTCTTTTAGTCCCTAGTAACTATTGGCAGAGGCAGATTTTGTCATAGAAACATGTTCCAAAAGCCATTCAGTCATTTTTTTCTGACACTGAAATGAAAGACCAGTGGTTCTTCACCAGAGATAAGCCCAAGAATCACCTGAGAGGCTTTTGAAAATATTCAAAATATTTCAAAATATACCAATCCCAACCCCACTCACAGACCTGTATTCCCCAGCCCCTGTTTTTCAGAATGATCTCCTCAGGTGATTCAGATGCACATCCAATTACGAACCACTGTTCTGGAGGGCAGTGCCCTGAGGGTGAGGAAACCCTCTGACCCAGCCCTGGACCTAGGCACCAGGACAAGGACAACACAAGGCACACAGAGACACTTAAGAACTGTCAGTTAAACTGAAGTGAACTGTAGCATTGATCACTCGGTCTCCAAGTCTGGCTGAAGCCAGAGAGGAAACAGACCAGCTAAGCAAAAGAGCTGTGTTCCAGACTGATACCAAAGAGCTTTCATCCCCACTCTGAACCACTCTCATTCCCCTGTGGCAGAGTTAAATAATGAGTCCTGGGGTGGAATTGTCTCTTCTAATTGAGACCTTAGGAGCAGGCAAGGAATCCCATGGCCCTGATACAACTGCACAGAGGCATAAAGTCACTGTCACAGAGCATACAGAATATCTGTCGCAGGGTCAGGCAGCCAGAATAAAAGCCAGACTATGTCTTTTTTTCAAATCTACGCCCAACCCCTCAGGACCACCATGGTGCAACCTGCTCACCACCACCAAATGACTCTTACTTTTAATAAGGGGATCTAGGAAACCTGAAAGAGCTCAAGGCTCATGGGTCAAGGACATAGAATGCCAGAACATTGGGAGGTTGGGATAAACCTGAGACCAGAGGGTTCTCTTAAACTCAGCCACAGGGGCACCCATCCCTGAAAAGTGCCAGCCTGGGCACATCTGTCGTACCAGCAGGGCATCTGAGCACGGCACCCTTCAAACCCACTGAACATGCTTTACCCTCACTGGCAGCTGGGGCATTGGAAGGCCCGGTCTTCTCCTGGCCTCCACTGTGGGCAGCAGGAGACTTGGGGGCATCTGTGCACAGAGCGTCTCTTCGGGGCCTTTTCACCATGGCCAGCTCCTCTTCTGCGGCCTGTGAAGAGAAGACCCCCTGGCTGAGCCCAGAAGCCACAGGTGGAGCTGCACCTCTCCCTCCTAGAGACGAGTGCTGGGGACCCATGACCACCAACTCAGCATCTGGCACATGTTCAAGGTTGTGCCTGCCGACGAGCAGCCCACCTCATTTCCCCTCTGCTGGCGGCTGGCTGCCTCTAGCTTCTCCCCTTCCATCTCTTGGGTAGGGCGTTTGGGGGGATTGTAGCCTGGGTGTGTTTCTTTCTTCCTCAGGAATTCCTCCGTGATTCCTAGTAACTCAGCAACCTGAAGAGGAAAGGGCCAGTAGAAATAAGCTTCTCTCAGTACAGATGCAGGTCTGCAGAGGCATGCGGACCCATGAGTTGAGTGACGGGCATTCAGGCTGTGGTGCCTCTGCACAAACATAAAGTCAGAGGGAAAAGCTCCTGAGGAAATGGATCATTACCCAGAACAGCAGTTCTGGGTTAGCTCAGTGCCAAAGACAGAATAAACGGCACTTTTAAAACTATAAACCACACTTTTTAAGGCTAACACACACTTACTGTGCTAGCTTGTACCTTGGTATCTTTCTTGTACATTATCCCTCCTTTGTCTCTGCAGAAAACAACCCTGCCAGTTCACATCCATATCTCCCTCCCAGGTGGTGAAGAGGGCATGGTGCCGACCTGAGAGAGCCATGCTAGAGTGCAGCTTCTGCTCCCAGCTGGGTGACTTTAGGGAGCCACTAGCTCCCTGAGCCTCAGTGGCCTCCCTGAGGTCAGCTGACTGTTAGGGTTTTGTAAAGAATGGATCTGATTCCACATGCAAAGCACCAGATGTGACGTGTAAAGACACAGCCACGGCCGCCTATCTGGGCCTTGTAAGGAGAATGCCATGGGCATCAGACTGCGGCAGGCAGAGGGAAGGGTACCCCAAGGCCAACCAGAAAACAGGACCAGATGTGCTTGATGCTGACCAAGCTGGAGAGTGTCCCTTTATAAACAGAGATGTTGTTGCTCCAAAGAGGCTGTGGCAAGAGAGGATTCTGGTGGGCATGCACAGAATTTTGTACACATCCAGCTCTGCTGCACAACAGGATATCCACACTTGTTTAACTTAACAGTTTAAAAAGCAGCAACTCACGGGCTAGGGTTGTAGCTCAGTGGTAGAGTGCTTGCTTTGTGCCTGTGAGGCCCTGGGATTGATCCCCAGCATCCCCAGCACCACATAAAAATAAACAAATAAAAATAGAGACATTGTGTCCATCTACAACTAAAAAAATAAGCAGGAAGATCGCGGGTTCAAAGCCCAACCTCAGCAAAAGTGAGGCGCTAAGCAACTCAGTGAGACCCGTCTCTAAGTCTCTAAATAAAATACAAAATAGGTCTGGGATGTGGCTTAGTGGTAGAGTGCCCCTGAGTTCAATCCCCAGTACCAAAAAAAAATAAAAAGCAAAAACAAAACAAACACATAGGTGACTATTCTGAACTGGGGAAGCTACAGGAGGCTTACCAGGAATCCATTATATTTTTGTAATAGTAATTTCAAAAAATAAAATAAAGTATAAAGGCTCATTGAAGAATATGGTAAATGATGAATTTGTGTAAAACTAACAATGACAACCAATAAAAACACCAAAACCCAAACCAGGAACAGATGATAACTATCAAGAATGGACCAAGGGGGAAAATAGACCAAGACTGCGTGCCACAGAAGAGTCCCTATGCCGTGGAACCTTGTCCTTCTCAGCAAAAACGAGCAGCAAAGGGAAGGGGAGTTAAGGCAACGCAACCCCCTAAATACGCTCCAGTGCCACATGTGCAGCAGATGGTTTCAAGGAGGACTATTTCAAGCCAGGGCCACACTGTGAGAACCAGCGAGGGCCATTTGAGTCAGCACCCTCTCCCACCGAGGAGCAGAGACCAGAGGGGAGGGGCTCTGCCAGGTCAGTGAGGTGCTGCCTCACAGACGGTGGGGCCAGACCCCAGTCCAGTCCCTGAGAACAGCCCCGGGCTGACGGGATCACGGGTGCAGGCTTGTGCCCAGCACAGGTTTCATCCAAAACAATGTCAGCTCAAGACTTTTCCAGGTGAAGAGCCCAATCTAGCTAAAGGCACTGTGATGATGACAATGACACTGAAATGAGAACCGCGTCCAAACAACCTGGCACGGCAAACTGTTGGCCCTATGGGCCCACGTGAAGGCTCACGAGGAGCAGAGTACCAGGCCTAGAGGTGCGGCCCGACAGCAGGGGGCGGAAGGCGAAGGGTGCAGTTTTCTTTTGGCTCATCTGCATTTTTGAGTTTTCTGCAACAATATTTAGTGCCTTTACATGAAGGAAACAAACAATCCACTTGGCTGACTATGATGTCATGGCTGAAAACCTCTTTGTTCACAGTCATCCTTCTTAGAAACCCTGAGAGCAAAACTCTGCTGTGTGCGGCTGTTACCTTATCATTGTTTATTTCCAGGGGCTCCTGAGAGCATGGACCAGAACCACTGAGGTAATCTTGACACAGTTTCTTAACCATGTTATGCAACTCTTCAAATTCCTTATACACGGCTGGGAAAAAAGGCTTTGCCAGATGACCTTTCTCAACCTTCGTGAAGATAAAGATGACAAAAAGAGTTTAAACCTGAGGCAATGGTGTAGAAAACACAGAAGGGAAAAAAAAAAAAACCTAAAGAGAGAAGGACACGGGTTCCTCAGCCCTGGAAATGGCTGATGGCGGCGCCTCCTTCTCCCCTCAGGGGGTGCCTGCTCTGTGTTGGCACTGTGCCCAGCCTGGGGAGGCCAGGATGGGCCTGGGAGGAGCTGACCAGAAAACACACACCACTTGGCATGATGGCCGCAGAGCCCTGAGGGTGGGGAGGGGAGGGAGCAGAGGGGAGGCAGGAAGGCCTGGGGACAGGCTGGCGCCAGCCCCTGAGAGCATGTGCAGCTCCAGGGATCGCAGCAGCCTCTGTGGGAAGCATGGGGCGCAGGCAGGGCTGCGTCTTCAGAGGTGGTACAGAGAGAGTAGAGCCTCATGTAGGAAGCCAGCCAGGTAGGATGGAGACCTAGCCACAGTTGCTGCTCCCACTGTCAATCTCCCATACAAAGTTAAACAATCAAGAGAGTGACAAGTGGCATGCCTAAGATTCCCCACCAGACAGACACTGGCCCTGCACCAGGCACTGGTGCTCATTTCAGCCCTGTCCTGGAGAAGGGAAGGATTCCACATGGCCTAGGTCTTCCCCAAATACACAGCAAGGATGTCCTCCTGCACGACTTCAGAGCATCCCCTCCGTGGTTCGAGGCTCCACCAAGACTCACCTTCATCAGAAGGAATTCATACACGGTCACAACCTGAGCCAGCTGAGGCAGCGCCAACTCCACCAGATCCTTCTGGTCACAATGCTGCAGACACTGCCAAAAGAAAGCATTTGCCACCTCTAAAGCCCATAAGAATTTCCCAACAGTCAGCAAGCTGATGCATCGTAACAGGAGAAAGTTCTCCCCAAACCCGGCAACTCTAAGCCACATTCCACTTCATTAAGCATCTCACTTGTTCGCCCATTAACAAAGTGCTGTGGTCAATTCTGGTTTCAAAGTTTGAGTCCCACATGACAAGCACTGGGTTCTGAGACGAGGCCCAGGAGTAAGGACATGGCTCTGGGGAAATGTGTGAGCTTCCTGCTACTGTGGAGGAAGCTCACAGAAATGCAAAGTCAGGAAGCTACAGAGGTTAGTGCTGCATGGAGTGAAAGGACAGAGGGATATCCGTAGGCAGTACCTGGGACTGACAGGCAGGCCAGCCAGGCTGGAGGGCCTGAGGATTTGCATTTCCTTCCAAAGGCAGAGTATGGAGGGAGGTTTCAATCAGGTCCTTAAGTGGCAGTGCAGGGAACAGAGTGGGAGGCGGGTGAGGACCCAGTTGACAACAAGGGTGTGGGCAGGAGGGACAGGGAAGGCACAATCCGCCAGACTCGGGGTCACTGGACATGGGAAGGGTGAGTGAAGGGGAAAGAGACAAGAAAGCCTGGGGTTCCCAGCCTGACTGAGCACTAGGCAAAGCGGCTCTCCACCAAGGGTAGGCAGGAAGCCAGTGTGCAGGCCCCCCTCAGCGGAGCACCGAGGGGTTCATGGGACTCCAGGCACAAAGACTTCGAATACGAGAGCCAAGGCTCTAGAGAGCAGTCTGAACAGGAAGTAACAGAGAGTCTGCAGAGGGAAGAAGGTTAGAGAAACCAGGCAGATGAGGGAGCTCAAGCAGGGTAGCAATGAAGTGAGGAAAAGCAGAGGAACTCTGGGAGACAGGAAGACCAGGGAGTTCAGGGAGGCTGCGCTGTCGGGTGTGGAAGACAGAGGAAGCAGCAGACAGGGCATCTCAAATTATACTCAATGCCCAGGTCCATGGTGGTTTTGTCCACTGATTGGCAGGTTTGACTGCCCCATTTTCCCCCGAGCAGGGGCTGTGTTTATCTTGTGTACATGTCCCCTCCTTACCCAGAACTGGGCCTAATACTCGACAAAAACCCAAGAAACATATAATGTCAACTTCTGCGAAAGTTCTCATCTAAAAGAATGGAGAATGGTCCCATTCAAAGCAGTCCTCCACTTCTCTGTGTGACACATGGGGTTTTGTATATTCTGAACCCATCTCCTGCCTGCAGTGACCCTGTGCAGGTCATTTTGGCTGGCTGGGTTTTGGGTTCCTCCACTATAGAGGCAAGGCAATGATCATAAAGAATAAATGAAAGGAAGTTTGTCCAGGCCAGCAAGGGGGTGCCAGGGAGTGGCAGGCTAGTTACCTTGCAGGAAGTGCTCAGTAAGTGGTAGTTCTTTTCAGGGTCAATGTAGGATTCTAGACGAAGGCCACCTACCTAACCCATACTTCCAAAAATTAATCATCCAACACTCTCATAACACAAACCCAAATGCAAAGAAAGCTAATCCCCCAAGGTTTAAATTAGCTGCTAGAATGGGCAACATTGCATTGTGCCTTAAGAAACTTCAGGGGCTGGGGATGTGGCTCAAGCCGTAGTGCACTCGCCTGGCATGCGTGTGGCCCAGGTTCGATCCTCAGCACCACATACAAACAAAGATGTTGTGTCTGCCAAAAACTGAAAAATAAATATTGAAATTCTCTCTCTAAAAAAAAAAAAGAAAAAAAAACTTGCAGTTGACTGGCACCTGATCCCCCAACCTAAAGGGTCAGCTCCAAGTTTCTTTAAAAAAAAAAAAAGAAAGAAACTTCAGGAAACTCACTTCCTCTTGGAAAACCACTTCTGCCCATGGATCTGGAGTTTGGAGGCCCTGGGCCCCTTTAGACACTATCTGGGGCCAGTCATCTTGCTGACTTGTCTCATGTTGTCTTGCTATATTTTCTACTTCTTTTTAAGATATTTTCCTGGAAAGGGCTGGTGATATAGCTCAGTGGTAGAGTTCTTGCCCAGCATGCAATTCCCAGGATAGCTGCCCCCCCGCCCCCCCACCCCCGCCACCAAAAAAAAAAACAAAACTTTCACCTGATTATAATCAAGATAATGTGGATGAATTCAGGGTTCTACTTTTCTAAGCCAAGCCAGTTAAATTCAATAAATCTAATATTTTTATGGAACTAGAATGGAGACAACAGGGTCCTAAACCTGAAACATTCTTTGCATAATTTAAACTTTTTTACAGAAAAAGAAGAACTCATTTCTGTTGTCTTCCAAACTTCTTCCAAGTAAATACAGGTTATAATTATTCCAAACTTACAAATGCAAGCAGCTCTTGGAACTACATGGGAAGTCTTATGGTCATTTTATTTATCTATCTATTTATTTATTTATTTTAGTTGTAGGCAGACACAATGCCTTTATTTTCTTTGTTTTTATGTGTGCTGAGGACCGAACCCAGTGCCTCACATGCAAGGCAAATGCTCTACCACTGAGCTGTGACCCCAGCCCTCCTATGGTCTTTTAAACAGGTAAGCCTCTGCGTTATTTCAGATAACCCCTCATTGAACTGATTATATACTTCATCCTGCATCATTGCAGGTGAACTGCTAACTTGGTCATGGTGTTTTACTTTTAAATTCAGAAACCTAACAGTGACTTCCCACTACCACGACAAAGAAACATTGTCCAGAACAGGATGTAAGAGTGTCTACCTCCTCCAGCTGGGCTCTGCTCCCTGAGGCATTCCGCCTCATGGTCCCAGCAGGGCCTTCGTGGGGCTGGGATGCTCGGATCCTCTGATGGACAGCTGCACTAGACTCTGCCAGGGTCTGCGAGTCTCCACTTCTTCTAGGTCCGAGGTGACTCTCTGATCCCAAAAGAGCTGAATGACTTCCATTTTCTGGCTCAGGTACCAATGCCTCTTCTACAGACTGCCCATCCTGGATAATGTCACACACCCCAAAACAAAATAAAACAGGCATGCTTTCTATATATCACCATGAAAGCCTTCAAGCAAAAAAAAAAAAATCAAAAGCAAGAACCTTGCCAGGTTGAGTGACACAGGCCTGTAATCCCAGGAGGCTGAGGCAGGAGGATCACGAGTTCAAAGCCAGCCTCAGCAACTTAGTGAGGCCCTAAGCAACTTAGCGGGACCCTGTCTCAAAATAAAAGTAATAAGGGCTGAGGATGTGGCTCAGCAGTTAAGCTCCCCTGGTTCTATTACTAAATAGAACAAAATTTTAAAAGGATAGAGATACAGCTCTGTGGTAGAATGCCCTTGGGTTCAATCCCTAGTAACCCGCTCCCCCCACCAAAAAAAAAGGAACTTGTTGAATTCTTTGTCTTTTTTTGGCAGTGCTAGAGATTGAACCCAGGAGCTTGCTAGGCAAGTGCTCAACCACTGAGCTCCTCTAGCCCAGTTATTTCCTCTTTAATCTAAACTCTTGAACCGTAATCAGTGCATTTTAAACTTTCCTTTCAGATACCAGATGATCATCAGCCAGCCAGTTAGTCTGGACTGACACACCACACTCTAGGATGAAGTAAGAAACTTCTCTGATGGGATGTCACCTTGAAAATGAAGCTGGGGCTGAGTGCCCAGCGGTACACCCTCTCTCCTCTGGCTCAAAGCCCTGGGTTCAAGTCCCAGCATCAAAGAAAAAAAATCAGCCTGAGTTTTGTTCCTTAAGCATTGCTTTACATTTTTTTATAGTGTATATTTCAAATACCATGAAATCCATCCTCTGAAAGCATAAAATTCAGTGGGTTACATATATTGCAAGATAAGTGACCCTCCTCACCAATTTCAGTTTACTTCCTCACCTTAGAAAGAACTCCTGCCTTGACCCCACCTGTCCCCAGAGCCCACAGCTGCTAATCTACGTTCTGTTTCCATGGGTTGACAGGGCTTTTGGGAGAGAATCCTGGATCTGACGCTGTCCAGTGACTTCCTCGTTGCCAATTCCTGCCTCTGAAAATGAAGATGGGAGCCACAACACACCTACCAATAGCTGTAGGGCCCACGAGCCAACAGGCGAGAAGTGCTTGACATGCAGTGAGCACACAGTATTGTGTCCACTTAGTTCTTTCTTTTTTTTTTTAAACCATGTTTTTTTAGTTGTCGATGAACCTTTGTTTGTTTTTATACAGTGTTGAGGATCGACCCCAGTGCCTGACTAGCGCTAGGCAAGCGCTCTACCACTGAGCTCCTCCCAGCCCCCCCTTAGGTCTTCCTTCCTCCCTCCCTCCCTCTTCTCTCTCTCTTTCTTTCTTTCTTTTTGAGACAGTCTCACTAGGTTGCCAGGCTGGACTTGAACTCCTGGGCTCAAACCATCCTCCTGCTGCAGCCTTCTAAGTAGCCAGAATACAGCACTGGCCACTGCACCTGGCTGCCCTTAACTCTCAAAGAGCTTCCCTTTCAAATCTTCATTGCAATGGAAGTTTTAGGAGGAATGCCAGGTTTACCTGTGGCTTTAAGTACCATGTGACCTTTAGGAGGGAAGGGGACAGGGCCTAAGTTGCCCAGGCTGGCCTTGAACTTATAACCCTCTTGCTTTAGTCTCCAGAGACTCTGGGCTTACAGGCATGTGCCACTGCACCTGACAGTCAAATAATTATATATATAAATTGTAGCTGGACATAATACCTCTATTTTACTTATTTATTTTTGTGTGGTGCTGAAGTTTGAACCCAGTGCCTCACACATGCTAGGCAAGTGCTCTACCACTGAGCCACAGCCCCAGCCTCGTCAAATAATTTCTGACAAGAGTATCAAGCTTGGGCTGGGATTGTGGCTCAGTGGTAGAGCGCTCGCCTCGCACGCGTGAGACCCTGGGTTCAATCCTCAGCACCACATAAAAATAAACAAACAAAAGAGTATCAAGCCTGTTTCAAGGGAAGCTGGGAAACCTGGATACCCAGAGCAAAAGAATGAAGCTGCACCCTACTTAACACTATCAAAAGCTAACTCAAAATGCACCAAAAGCCTCAATGAAAGACCTCAAAACCATGAGCTTCTCAGAGGAAAACCTAGGGCAGAGACTTTATGACACTGGGTCTGACTGTTATTTCTGGGATATGACACTAAAGGCAGAAGCAAAAAGAGGAAAAAACAAACAAATGGAACTTCATGAAAAAATGTTAGGATTGCGTTGCAGCAGCCACTAACAGGGTGGGGTGCAGTGGCACACCCCTGTGATCCCAGCCACTCAGGAGGCCCAGGCAGGAGGATCCCAAGCTCCAAACCAGCCTGGACAACTTCCCCAAAATCCCTGTCTCAAAATATTTTAGGGCTGGGCAGTGGTGCATGCCTGTAATCCCAGTGGCTCACGAGGCTCAGGCAGGAGGATAGCAAGTTCAAAGCCGGCCTTAGCAACAGGGAGGCGTTAAGTACTCAGCAAGACCCTTTCTCTAAATAAAATATAAAATAAAGCCGCCTGGGTGCAATCTCTAGTACTACAGAAAAAGCAAAACAAAACAAAAACCTGGCGGCTGGGTTCCACTGAATGTGCCCACCAAATGAGGTTGCTGGGTGGGGAGCACTCACCAGCTTGGCAGCAAAGCAGACCCTCACTATGACAACTTGGGTCTCGAACTCCCATCACACAAGGTGAGGGTTAATTTAAGAATGGTGGGCAGGAAGGGACAGGGATAAGAACACTGTCACCAAACATCATTACCTGCTGGCCACCCTGTTCTGATTCTGCCCCTTCCTCACGTGCTGCAGCTGGTGCGCACCGCTCTGGAGAGATCAGGCCTCCAGTCCCTGCTTCTGTGCATCCCAGGGAGAGGCTTCCAGTGGCCTTCTCAGGCAGCGGCGTCTCAGGATCCACCTGGCCGTGGCCTGGGTTAAGTTTAAAATGCCGGGCCAGTCCCCCCTTTCCTATGTATGACTTGCCACAAGTCTGACACCGAAAGGTCTTGGGCCTCAGGGCACAGCTCTCTAAGTCAAAGAGAGCCTGCTTCTCCCTCTGGCCTTCCTCTTCCTCTGTGCTCAGTTCTGAGTAGTCATCGGAATCCGAAGGGTGCCCTTCGGCCAAGTCCTCTGTTTTGATGAATTTATAGTCTCTAGCTTTGTACTTGGGAGGTCGAGATATCCGTCCAGAACGAGTTTGCACCTTGAAGGATTTTTTTAGCTTCTTGGCATGTTTCGTGTGCAAGCTGGAAATCAGTAAATGTGAACTGGAAGAAATGGACGTTCTTGTGGGCAGGTGAGAGGCTGCCAGAGCAGTCAACCGGTCGCCCTGGCCGCCTAGAGCCTGGGAGGCCTTGACTCTCTTTGGAGGGACTGGCTGGAGGGCGGGCAGGGGCCTCTGTACAAACACCCGAGGAACAGGAGGCCGAGGTGAGCTTCTGAGAAAGCACAGATGTGGCCCGGTCCTCCCCGGGGGCTGCCCCCTGAGCAGCTGAGGGCTGGCCACGCGCAGCCCCACCAGGCTGGAGCTCCTCCCCGGAGGCTGGCTCTGTCTTGCTGTTTGGGGCTGGATGGTGGCCAGTGGTGGCATCGGCCTTTCCTGACCTTTCACGTCTCCAGGTGTCACCTTGACACATATGGTTTCTAGTTGCTTAAATATAGAAAGAGGAAACCAGGAAAGAGAAAGACAGCATTATGCTCATTGATATTTCTGTAATCATCACAAATCCACCGTTGAAACTCTAAGTTTGAACTTACATATAAAGGCTATGTCCTATGTCTGTAGTGTTTATAGCAGTTTTCCAAACCTCTCTGACCACAGAGCACAGGGATACATGTTACACCACAACCAAGTACATCTGCTGAAACGCTGTGGACACAAATGAAGTAATAGTTCATGCAACACTCACCGCCCTACATAAATGCCCTCTCATGTGCTATGTAGTCTACTTTTTTTTTTTTTTTTTTTTTTTGGTACAGGGGCACTTTACTCTGGGCAGAATATTCCAGCCCTTTTTAAATCTTTTTATTTTGAGACAGGGTCTAAGTTACTTAGGGCCTCACTAGGTTGATGAGGTTAGCCTTGAATTTGAGATCCTCCTGTGTCTCCCTATTTGCTGGGATTACAGGCATGCACCACTGCCACTGGCAATCTACATCATTAAAAAAAAAAAAAAATATATATATATATATATATATATATATATATATAATGACTTATATATATATTAGACATAATCTACTAAATTATTTCATGACTCATTAAGAAATAATTCCTTGCTTTAGTTTTATCCATGTGGTTTTACTTGGATTACTTAGTACTGTGCTCTAAACTGGACTCCATGCAATGTGAGCTCATTTGTTACAGTGCTGGGGATAGAATCCAGGACCTCTGGCAAGCTGAGCCTCTGGCAAGCTGGACCACCTAAACACATCCCCAGCCCAGTGCCAGTGAGCTCATTTTCCACCACCACCCCCGTCCCCCAAATGAATGAAATTCTGAAACCAAAAAAGCCATAAAGAACAAAGTAACCAACAGGGTCCTACGACCCACCTGTAAAGGTAACACAAGCAGTTCATAAAGCCCTCCCAAATCCTTCCAACCTACATGCCCCTTTCTTTACCATATCCCAAATGCCCTGTTCATTCTTGTGTATTTTTAAAATTTATACTGCATGTGACTATCTCCAAAAATATGGTTCAGTTTTGAAATGTTTTTAGACTTTATATAAATGAAATAATCTGTACCTTGATGGGCATTTTCACTCCCTATTTTGCTGTGAGAAATGCATCCACATTGACCTGTGAAGCTCTAGGTGCTCATTTTCTCTGCACTGAGTACACTAGTCTCCTGTTGATGAACAGGTTCTCTCCCTCTGTTCTTATGGTCTGTTCTAAAATTTCATAGTATGTGCATACATGTGTATTTCTCCAAGGGCACACTTCTAGGAGAGGGACTTCATAAACCTTCAACAAATTAAAATATAATATCCAACAAAATTTTAAATGCCTATGCTTTTTGATCCAGCAATTCCATTTTTTTTTTGTTTGTTTGTTTTAGATTCAATTAAAAAAAAAACAAAACACTCACATGGGCACAAGGATGAATGTTCTAGGAAGTTCAAGGTAGAACTCACTGCCTGTAACAGCAAAACACCTAACAACTATTAAGGGAAGAGCTGTCTTCAACAACATTCCACAATATTTACTGAGTGCCAACCCTGTGCCAGACATAGTCATAGGTGTTAGAGAAGAGGAGAGGGTGGGAGCAGGACAAGGCTCATGCCCTTGCAGAGCAGAGTGAGCATTTTCTCAGAGGGAGAAAGGCAAAGGTCCAAGGCAGAGTATTTCAACCTTGGCAGAGTGACACTTCGGACCGGTAGTTCTTTGTTGTGTGGAGCTGTCCTGTACTGTAGGAAGCTGAGCACCATCCCTGCCATCACCCTCTAGAAGCCAGCGCTGCACCCCCAAGTTGTGACCCTCAAAAATGTCTCCAGATGTTGCTGAAGGCCCCTTCCCTATGGGGCAAAACACCTTCGGTTGAGAACCACTGATCTGGGACACAAACAGGTCCTCTTTTGGACTCAATCCTATGCCAGTGAAGGGTCAAAAATGTCATCACACAGGGCAGAATAAAAACCCTCACTGAAAGCAAGCTGGGGTCCATCTCTCATCTCTATATTGCAAACAACAGAGACAATTTGACATTTTGGTTTATGGTTTTTGTGTACAGAGCTGATGCCAGTGTCCCATTAGTCCCCAATTCCTGGGCTACCTGTGACTCACTGACAACTAGGTTTACTTTGTATATCCTTCAATAACCATTATTCATTTCCTTTTACTATTAGTCAGAATTTTTCTCTAAGCTCTTTTTATATTACACATACACCATATTATACATACACACACACACACACACACACACACACACACACACCAAGACCTATTGTTCTAGAATGACCAGCAGCAGAATTGGTCCCATAATATATTTATCTGCTATCCAGACTGACTTACCACATAGGTATTATACTTGATATTTTGCTATATGTGTATTTAATTCTGTAAACTTGGGGCTAGGGTTGTGGCTCAGTAGTACAACACTTGCCTGGCACGTGTAAGGCCCTGGGATTGATCCTCAGCACCACATATAAATACAATAAAATAAAATAAAAATTTATACTATTTATAAACAGTATCCAAGCCTGTCTCACACCTGAGCTAATGGGAGGCTTTCCCCTGCCCTGCCCCAGTCCCTGCAGACCTGCTGGATTGGATCAGCTGGGATGGAGCACTACACCTATCCTTTCAAAATCTCCATTGATTCTGAATGCTGACGAGGCTCCCCAGGGAGTAGATAGGTGAAGCAGATAGGAAAACAGTGCCACCATAGCACAATAGATAAGAGGCAGAACAGACTGAAGGTGACAGACTTGCCAAGGAGAGCTCTCAAGGGTATCTCAAGGGTTTTTGCCAGGTGAAATACCACCTTCGGCATTAGTGTTGAATGTCCTCAGCCAAATCTAATTTCCCTTTCTTTTAAATTCATTTAGTTCTTTATGTTGATCTCTAGCTTTCTGACCTTGATTAGAAATTACCTGGGGGCTAGGGTTATGGCTCAGTGGCAGAGCTACAGCATGTGGAAGGCACTGGGTTTGAAACTTACCACTGCATAAAAGTAAAACAAATAAAATGCTTTCTGTCCATATATAACTACATTTTTTTTTTTAAATAAGTTATCTAGTCCATGCCTTACCTTCTATTAGTTCATAACTCCTCAGGGGCAAGGTACACACCTGGTTTGCCTTTGTGGCCTCCAAGGCACAGTGAGGTTGAAAAGATTATTAGCACAATGGGCCATAAAGTAACATTATTGTGAGTGCAGGTAGAATTTATACCATTCCCATCAGATTAGCTACAGAATATAATCCTTTTTTATTCATTACCTCCCTCCACTCAGCCCCATGCTGGGGATTGAATGCAGCATTACCACTGAACTACATCCCCACCCCTTTTTATATTTTGAGATAGGATCTCACTAAGCTGCTGAGGCTACCCTTAAGCTTGAGATCTTCCTGTCTCAAACTCTTGAGTGGCTGGGATTACAGATGTATGCCACCACTCCTGGCTTAGAATACAATTCTTTTAGGTTCCTAAGCTTATTTTCACTTGATGAAACGTGACATTATTGGACTCTTTCTGAAGTTGCCACACCAAATCAGATCCAAAAAGTAGTGTGTAGTGAGGACACAGGCTCTGGAGTGCAGCTGCACCTATGGGACCTTGGGCAAAGTCACCCAATCTCTCTGAGCTTGTTCTTGACCTGGAAAAGGCTGATAGAGAAGCATTATTGCTCCCAGTGGCCTGGGCAGAAGTTCTGCAAGTTCAAAGCCTGCCTCAGCAATTTAGCATGACCCTAAGCAACTTAGCGAGACCTTGTTTTTTTTAAAAAAAGCATTATTACATGGCTGCTGACAACTAAGCAGCTTAGTAAAGTGCCTGACTGGGAGTAGGGAGTGTGTAAACAGCAGGAGTCACTAGATGGTGGCTGTACTGGATGGTGCCATGCTGTCTTTAACAGATTTGCTGTGTCCAGTACATGGGGAGGCACTGGTTCTTCAGAAGAGTACAGCCAAAAAGCTCACACAGTGAACCATCCCTACTGCCAACAAGGAAATCAAAGTCCAAAGAGGTTGTTACCTTACCTAAGGTCACACCTCCAGCAATGTTGGGGCAACATACTTGTCTTCCCAAACTAAATAAAGCAAGATAACTCTCCAGCCTTGATAATTGGTTACAAGCCTATGCAGCCCCATACCACTCAGGAAAAAAAAAAAAAAAAAAAAACTGAAGACTGTTGGCTCTATTCTCTAGCCTGTTTACTAGAAGCATCTCTCTTCCTTTAGCAATTTAGGGATGAAAGTATTGTCATGTACAACCCTCAAGATAAGGGGATATGATTTTACACACAACATGCAACACCTCCAGCTTTAGGAACTGCCTAAACCCTCCCGGCTTGGGAGATCACTTTCTAAAGCCAACTCCCCCAGCAGTCAAGAGCTCTATGACCCAGGGAATAAACTCTCTGGGAGAGGATGACCTGTGGTATAGAGGGCTTTCACGTGTTTCACGTGTACTGGCACTGCTGGGCACTGGGGTTACAAATCACAGGCACCACTCAGGTGCCAACTCGTACAGCAAACTACTGCATTGTGCTTCCTTTTGTCCCAAGTCTGGGTCTTGGCACTTGCTCTGCTTTCCACTCTTTTACTCCACTCAGGTCTCAGCGTCATTGTCAGGCCTCGAGGACCACCCACTGGAAAGCAGCCCCCTTTCACCCCCAGAACCGCCTTAACTCTGCACCGTGCAGCACCCCTTGCACTAGGGGCCCCACCTGGTGCACTGTGAGCGCTCAATGGATGCTGAATGAGGGGGCAGAGGCGGGTAAGAGCCAGGCAGCGCGGAGGAGCCCAGCGCAAGGCGGTGTAAGTTCGGGGACTGGCGACGCCGGCCTCTCCGGCCCGGCCGCTCCAAGGCGAGCCTGCCCGTCGCGAGGCGCGGGCCCCCGAGGCCTCGGTTTCCCCCACTCCCTCCCAGCGCCTCACCTGGGGTGGCAGGAGGCGCGGCGGGCGCGGGGGCTCGGCGCCCGGAGCCCGCTGCAGGGCGGCCTGCTGGGCCGCGTCCCGCAGCCGCCGTGCCGCGTCCTGCAGGACGAAGGCCGGTGGAGGCTCGGCGGGCGGCTGCGCCTTCGTCACCTGCTCCAGGACCCGCCGCAGCTGCTCGGGGTCAAGTGGGGCCACGCGCGCCGCGTTGCCACCCTGGCCCGGAGGAACCCGGCCGCTGCCGCCATCCCCGCCGCCACCCCAGCGCCCCGGCTCCGCGTCCGCCATGACAGCCGAACTGGGACTCGAACCCTTGTAGCTGAGCGACGGCGGCGCGAATGTGCGTCACCTGGGAAAGGGGCGGGCTACGAGTGCCCAGCAGGCCAACACACTACGGAAGGCGGCCGGGCTGGGGGCGGAGCCGGGATGGCCACGCCCCTCTACCACGCGCCATCACCGAGGTCCGCGCAGGCCGCTCGGGTTCTATTTTGTTTGTTTGTTTTTCCGCGCTGGGGCTGGAACCCTGGGCTCCCGCGTGCTGGACAAGCGCTCCGCCTCTTGGATTATTTTCTTAACTCTACGACGTCACCTCCTCCAGGAGCTGTCTGGGTCTCTTCCAGAGCCCCTGGCCTGTCACCTTTCAAATGTTAACGTCAACCTACACTGAGGGTCCTGCCTGGAGCTGTGGATTCCCAGGAAGACCCCAAGATGTCCTGATTTAATAACTCCAAGAGGGAACCTAGTGTTCGCACTCTTAACAAGAGTGCCCCTCAACCCCCTAATTGTTCCCAGCTTGATCTACAAAAGCCCTAGTGCCCACGCAGACTGGGCACGTCTTGAGGACAGGGATGCTATGTTACTCATTCGGTGCCGACACAGGCCCTGGCCCAGTGCACGGTGGGGGAATGAGGGAGCCACCTCTTCCCGTTTCAGTCCTGTCCACCCATCTCCACTCTTCCTCAGCCTACTCTCTTACTCGGAAGGCTCCCTGTCTTGTAGCTGCAGGTGTGTACGCGTGTCTCAGCTCCTCTCCCCAAGGAGGTCAATGAAGGGAAGCGAGGACCGAGAGACCAGGCAGAGATACACACGAGAGTTTGTCAGAGCTGTCTTGCCCTGGTCACTCTCTCTACATATAGAAGAGAGAGGCCCCCAGATATTCGGGTGTTCTTTTGTGGGGTAGGGGTTTGGAGTTGGGGGATAGGCTTGGGGGTGCTTGCGTCAGAGCTAGGCGGGTGGGGAATAGGGTCTTAGGTCGATGGCATCATGGGGCTTTCCGGAGTCAAGTGGTCATTTCCCTCTGGGATTGGTTTAGGGTTATGGTACCATGGGTCACCAATGGGGTTGGGGGTAGCTCCGGTAAGAAGAAGTACAGGAAAGCGAAACATCCCATAGACGGCTGCTGAAATTTTAAATCAGTACCCTATAGTCAACACTTACCAACCCCTGGGAGGTATGCAGTCTACATAGGAAGGAGCGGGAGGAAACTGGCTTTTGCAGCATAGTATGATGAGTGCCATGATGTCCATAGGGAGGGGGCTGCGGGCCAGCCTGGTGTTGGAGAAGGTTCTGAAAGACCTTCTAATCATTTGCTTCTCACCGTCATCATCAGAGTCAATATTCAACTCTAAATTGTTCTAAATTAGTTCATTGGTAGACTCATAGTGTTGGCCAGAGATCAGACTTGTGGAATTTGTTTCAGTTACTTAATCCTTCCTTTTTTCTATCCTCCTCTTCCCCTCTACCCCTCCCCTCCCCCTCCTCCCTCTTCCCCTTCTCCTCTTTCAAAAGAAACCCTTCCCATCTTCCCATCCTCTATTATGAGAAAGTTTTCCTCTGATTTCTAAGCCTAGAATTTCCTCCACCATTTAGAGCATGGTGCCCCATTTTATCATCTTTTTGAGCCTGTCATGGAGGGAGAAAAAAAAAATTCCTTGAATGGGGAATTTGAATTAAAGTGAATTTGAATTAAAAGATAGATTAAACTGATAAAAACCAAAAATTAAGGTGCATTTTTATCAATGTATATAAATAAATACATGGGAAAATAGGACTAAGCAGGGGGTTAGAATTTTACTAACTACCTTAGTAGAGGAGGGGAGAAGAGCACTTGTGGGAAAATGACTTTTTGGAGATATAAGTGGATCCTTAGGAGAACAGGTGAGAATCTGGTAGCTTTGTGGGCATGTCTACTTAAATATGATGCAGCATCTTTCCAGAGATGGAATGGGGGTCTGTCTTGCCCTGGTCACTCCCCAGAAAGGGATTTAGGATACTTGAGCTCTTTCAAGTTCTTTCAGGAGGCTCTGCTTTTAGATGGATGAAAAATTACTGGTACTCAACTAATGTTTTCAAAATAAATTTTATGCTACAGTGGTATATTTGGAACCCCCTTAAGTTCGGAAGGTATGCAATAAGGGCAGCAATCTGCACCTACCCCTGTTACCACTCAAGGCTCAGTCTGCCAATCCCACTAGGGCTTGTCAAGAGGCAAGGCAGCGGTAGAAAACTTTATTATCAAAACCTTCCCCAGAGGATGTGGCTCAAGCGGTAGCGCTCACCTGACATGCGTGCGGCCCAGGTTCGATCCTCAGCACCACATACAACCAAAGATATTGTGTCCGCCAAAAACTAAAAAATAAATATTAAAATTTAAAAAAAAAATCTTCCCCAGAGGCTCATGTAGGAGCAGTTTATGTAGAAGATGGGTGATCACAGACTGGCAGGCACCTTCTCGTTGGTGGAGGTTTGTGGACAAATAACACACGCATTTGATCTCAATTATCTAGTCAGGAGATGCTTTTTGGTTCTGCAAATCTGAAGAACAAGCATTGTTTCCTTGGGTTATTATTATTATTTTTTAACCAGGATTAAACTCAAAGGCACTTAATCACTGAGCCACATCGCCAGCCCCCACCCCCACCTTTTTTTTTTTTTTTTTTGTATTTTATTTAGAGACAGTGTCTCACTGAGTTGCTTAGGGCCTCCCTAAATTGCTGAGGCTGACTTTGAATTCGGATCCCCCAGCCTCGGCCTCCTACAAGCCGCTGAGATTACAGGCTAGCACCACCGTGCCTAGCTCCTTGGGTTATTGTCACTGATTAGTTTGCCCACATGAAGCTCCTGACATATTACACAAAGCACAGGCTAGAAGCATTAGCTGCCCCAAGGCTCCCTTGCTGATTACCAGACTCACAATAAAGAAAACATACTTCACCCATGACAGAAGATGAGAAGCATGTGAACTTCAGTAGGAGTCCAGAACCAGATCTCGTCTCAGTGCTGGGCGTCACTCCGCGCTGCGACCCTGGCCTAATCCAGCACCGTGCATATGCATTCCTAGGTGTGCACAGGTGTTCCAGCTGTCAGCAGCCGCGGGTTCTTCTAATCTGCTGGCATTGACTGCATCCACGCCTTTGACTTCGTCCTGAGCACTTAACCAAGGGCTTAAGCCTTTGGTCTGTGAACTTGGGCCTTGTTTGGACCAGAGGTTCACACATATTTGAGAAAAGAATGAACGATGGTGGAGACGTTTTCGCGGCGATGCTTTGGAAAAAGCCCTGATATGAAATGGCATCGCCCTAGGAACCTGGCTACGGTTGAACTGAACACACCTGCCAAGCCGGAGACAGGCTGCAGTGAGAAATGCACCCGCTGCCCTGCGGTTGAGATTTGGGCTCTCTTTACTGTGGCCGTTCATTCCGTGAGCCTCTGGAAGGCGTGACTTCCAGACCTGGACCGTCCACCACCAGAACTCGGAAACGGAGGTCCGCACAATAGGGACCGCCAGGCGGCGCCGTCCGAGGGCCTCTGTCTCCGCACGCAGTACCTCCAGACGAGCTGGAGCCTCGGGACAGCCACGGTCCCTGGAACGCATCCGGAAACGGAGGCTGCGGATGGCTGCAGGCAGGCCCCAGGGACTTCCGCAACGCGCGCGGCCCGGGCGGAACTGGGTCGACTTCCCAGCTGAGTCCGGAAAATGATGTCCGGAAAGATGCAGCTGCACGCTGGGCCTCGAAAATAAAAGAGTGACTCAAAGACATCATTTCAGAAATGTTTCTAAAAAAAAACAACACTCTTGGCCCGTACGGGGATCGAACCCGCGACCTTGGCGTTATTAGCACCACGCTCTAACCAACTGAGCTAACCGGCCACACGCAACTCGCTGGCTGCCCTGACGCCTAGAAGGTTTGGCAGCGCTCTGGCGCCGCTAGGCTGAGTGCCCGCGCAGTGTCCGCGCCGGCTGCGCCCCTGCTCCAATGGGACCCGGCCGCGGGAGCGAGAAAACCAGACCGGGGCTGGGGAGGCGGCTGTCTACATCAGCGAGGCCTCCGCAGGCAGGATGGAGACGTGGCTGGGGAGTAAGCCTTTCGAATATTTCACTTCGATGCTGTTTTTATCACCTGAGAACCCTTGCCAGGAAGCTCCCGGCATGCAGAGCCTTTAGCTAAATCAAACTTGGAAAATACGGAGAGCCGGGTTAAGGACAGAAGAACCCTCGGGTTCCCCGCCGTCCATCAAACCAGAGCCTCTGGGGTCTTGGCTTCCTTCCTGCCAGTCTTTTAATTGTAGAGGTGTCGTTTAAAAGATATTTTGAATCCAAAGCCTTGCTTGAAAGAATACCATTTTATGTTGTTTTTTTTTTCTACTTAATATTCTATCATAAGCATATCCCTAAGTAATTGCAGGTGTCACTAATTTATTTTTTGTTCATCTTTTGAGACAGGGTCTCGCTTGAACTTGGCTGTCCTCCACCTCAGCCTCCTAGTAGCTGGGATCACAGGGCCAATGTCATTTTGTATGGTTCCTCTTGGGGATGCAGAGCCCTTGCCTAGCTTGTGTGAGGCCCTGAGTTCAGTCTCCAGTGCTGGGGGTCGGGGGAGTTCTTCAGCACAGAGTTTCATTGAATAGATAAAACATAGCTTTCCCGTTTTTATCTTATTTTTTTAAATGCATCCTGCACGCGCTAGACAGTTCAACTCTCTACCACCGAGCCACAACCCCAGCCCCCTTTTATTTATTTATTTATTTATTTTGATACCAGGGATTGAACCCAGAGGCACTTAACCACTGCCTTGAAAATATTGGCTAGTCTGACTTTGAACTCTCCATCCTCCTGCCTCAGGGCCACTGGGATTGATGAGCCACCTTTCCCTGCCTTTTGTGTGTGTGTGTGTGGTGCTGGTAATTGAACCCCGGGACTTGTGCGTGAAAGGCAAGCACTCTACCAACTGAGCTATATCCCAGTCCCATGCTTCTCTTCTTCTTCTTTTTTTTTTTTAAATTAATGTATAATTTACTTTTTTAAAAAATTGTAGATGGACACAATATCTTTATTTTATCTATTTTTTTTTTAAAATATGGTGCTGAGGATCGAACCCAGTGCCTCAGGCATTCGAGGCACGCACTTACCACTGAACCACAACCCCAGCCCTCTTCTTTTCTTTTTAATGCTGGAAAAAATATTTTCAATTTGCCTTCTTGTTAATGGAATACATCACATGATACAAGGTACAAGGGTTGAAATAGCTAAGAGGTAGCAAGGGGATAGGGTCTGTATACCAGGGGAAAAACAGGGTAGAGACAGCGATGGGAAGAGGACTCCACCATGTCCACTCCTGGCCCATGCGTCCTGGGGCCTCCTGGTTGCTGAAGAGCCTCACCTGGGGCGCTGCTGTGGCTCAGGCTCCCAGAGTGCAGGAAGGGAGCCAGGTTCACATTGTCCACTCCTCTCCTCTGACTTCTCCAATAAACTGCAACTGCTGCACGTTCACCTCCCTGATGAAAGAAGAAGAACCAAAATCCAGCTGATTCACAGACCTTATTGAAAGGATGTTACACAGTTCACCCCTCCATGAGGAAGTCTAGAGGACTGGTTTTAGAAAAGCAGTCAGTCGGTCCACACATACTCATCAAGCTTGGCAGTGCTGTCTCCAGGCATCAGCTTAGAAAAGACAGATGTGACCAACAACAGAGAAGCTGAGGTGCCAGATTGATTACATGAGCCATGGTGGGAGGCTGGGCCAGTTTTCTGAAGTCTGTGACATTTGTGTTCCAAACAAGGATGCAGTGGGCCCCACAGTGATAGGACCCTTCCCATGAGAGCTTCATCCTGGCTTAGGCTACATTCCCCGAGCCTCACACACCGTCTGGCATAGTGCTGCTCCAGAAATAGGAGCCAACCCAGAAGCCCAGCGATACCAGTAAAACCTGAATCCACCTTGCCTGCGTTGGAGTTCCTCTAGCTCACTGGACAACTCCAGTTTATGTGTGCCCTTGATTCACACATGGCTGAGGCTCATTGGGGCGAGTCAGGACCACATCCTCCAAGTGTCCTAGATGATGCCCCTGAACCATTCCAAAGATGACATTTTGTAGCTCCCCCCACACCTGCATAAAAATACTAACACAGGAAGTATTTATCCCCAGCAGGTGTTTTTTTTTTCTTTTATGGGTCCCCTCGCACCCCCGAGACTGGAAACTGAATATTTCTGGAAAGTGCCACTTGTTGGTCCTGTTAGTTTACTGATTAGTTAGCCTAACCATGTTCTTAGTGACACATGTCCTGTTATTGTTGGGAAGTACCAACTAGCTCTGTGTTACTCTCTTTTAATTGTGAAGCTCCAATAGAATGTTTCCACTCAAAAACTAAAAATAAATAGTCAAATGCATGAATTTAAAAGTCACCTTAATTTTATGTATTTTGAGATGGGGGAATATCTCCCTGCGTTGCCCAGGCTGGTCTCAAAGAGATACTCCTACCTCAGCCTCCCAAGTAGATGGGATTACCAGCCCTCACAACGGTGCCAAACCCATTTTACATTTTAAAACGAAGTCAGATTAAGCCATTTCTCTTTTCCACCTCGCTTTCCTTCCAGGCCAGCAAATAAAAATGCAGGAAGCCCACCGAATCCCACATAAACAATGAAGCATTGTTCGCAATATTTGGGACATGCTTATCCTGAAACAGTACGGAAATAGTACTGTATTGTGCCTGGCAACCCCATGCCCCGGGGAACAGTGGGTTGAAAGACCCGCCTAACCCTCGGCTTTCCTTTCTGCGCACCCGCACGGCTGCTCGGTTCCCTCTGCTGCAGCCCCGCGCCCTGCTCCAGCCTGGGGCATTTATTCTCGCTTCTCCTCTTTTTTCTTTTTCTTTTTTTTTTTGTTTTTTTTGTTTTTTTGGTGGGGGGTACCGCGGATTGAACTCAGGGGCACCCACCACTGGGCCACATCCCCAGCCCTCTTGTATTTTATCTAGAGATGGGTCTCACTGAGTTGCTTAGCGCCTCGCCGTTGCTGAGGCTGGCTGTGAACCCGCGATCCTCCTGCCTCAGCCTCCCCAGACCTTGCGGGGCTCCCTCCCCCGACGCCCCTATCGGGAGGCTGCCTTCCCTTCCCCTCCCTCAGAGCTGGCTGTTGTGCCCTCCGCCCCCAGGACGTGGACTGCGGGAGGCAGCGCTTCCGTCCCCTCTGCATCGCCAGCTGCGAGGACGGTGGCTGGCCCGCGGTGGTGGGCAATCGAGGTTGGTCCGACGAAGCCAGGCGGACCAGTCCCGCCGGGCGAGCGAGCCTGGGCGCCCTCCGGGGTCCCGCCGGCTTTCCCGCGGCCCCAGGTGCGCACGCAGCGGCGGACGTCAGGGGGCGCCCGAGGCCCGCGCGCTCCGCTCGAGCCGGCGCCCGGCTCCTGCGCCCTGGGGGCTCGTCGCGGCCCGCGGGGAGGGCGGCCTCGGCCCTCCGGGCTTCAGAAGCCCTGCTCCACTCTGCCTCCGGCCTCGCTTGCCGGCCTCCGGCGTCACCGAGTCCGGATTCGCCCCCCTGGGCAGGACGGCGGTCCTGGTGGCCCTGATGACCGCATTTTAACTTAATTACCTCGTGAACACCCCCTTCCCGTGAAGGCCTTCTACGTATCCCATAACATTCGCCTTCATTTCTTCTGTTACTAAAGCTTCAACTTGCAAAACAGGTTTAACATTGAATTTCTCAACAACTCTTCTATTTATAAATTAAATAAATAAGAAATGCCATTAGGCCGAGCGCCACCTGTAATCCCAGCAGCTCGGGAGGCTGAGGCCGGAGGATGGCGAGTTCAAGGCCAGCCTCAGTAACTTATAGAGGCCCAAAGCAACTCAGAAGACCCTGTTTCTAAATAAAATATAAAAATGGGCTGGGGATGTGGTTCAGTGGCTAAGTGCCCTGGATTCAATCCCTGGTATCAAAAAATTAAAAATGGCATTAAATGTTTAAAATATGCATATGCTCTAAATATTTACGAATTTGGTAAGTGGTACTGGGGATCAAACTCTAGTGCTTGTCAGGCAAGCACTTGACACTGAGCTACACACCAGTCCCTGATTTTAAGTTCTTAAAACACTAAATGATGCTTTTTGAAAATTGAAGTGTTATATTTAAGAAAAAGAAAACAAATATATAATTTTAAGCCATATAGTACTAAAAGCTTATGATGAAGAACATTCGTCCAGCCCATCCCCTCCCTGTCGCCGTCCAGCTCCTACAGGTAACCATTGTGAGCGTTGATTTCTTCTGCCTTTTCCTCCCATAAATCTAAGTAATATGATTATACTATTTTTTTTTCAATTTTAGACACTATCTGTCAAGTTCGTTTTATACAAATTAGGTCATAGTTCTTTTTCCAACATTTTCCCAACTCACATGTACTCCCCTTTGCTATGATTTTCGAATAATAATACCATTAATTTTTTAGCCAAATCAGTATTCAGTATTTACATTGTTGTTTCTATAAACACTGTTCCCAACTGAGCCACAAGGTTTACTATAATTACATTTCTTTCTGACAAAGAACTGTTTGTGTTCCTCTGGGTTTACTTTGCTAATTTCCTTTTTCTTTTTAAAATTTTTTAT